GGAACCTGGAAACTTAAAAAATACTGAATTACAAAAAACATTTAAAAAACAAACATGTTTCATTGATGTATATACAAAAATGAATATTAGGAACTATATTTATCAAACATTATACTGGGCAAGTAAAAATTGTTTCTGGGCAAATGAAATGTGAAAATCCTTAACGTCAACCCCTGCATTATTATTATTTTGATCAGAAAGAATCTTATTTCAGTGATCTACAAATGGAACAACACAGAGGAGTGCCGTTAATAAACGTAAAAACGGCCTGCCATACTGTAGTCCACTTCATATAAACCTACGCATTAAGTTGAGCAACAATCTTCTCCTTCACAACCTTCCTCTTCGTCAAAGCTTTAGCGCTGTTTCTATGTCTTTTATACACATTCTCTATTGTTTAATTTTTTTCATTAAAATGGCTAGTTTCAGTGGTGGGAAAAGGACACTTCCTGTTGCCTGTTGTCATGGAGACTCGTCGAATCGGGGCTCCACTGATAACGGCTTTTCTTACTTGTTGAAAGGACCTACTCAGAGTTTATTAAACTCACAGCAGCTCTTATGGAACTGAAAACACAGAGTTTCCGACCTCAGACTAGATCATTTCAGAGTGGAGGATTTTAGTCTGAGTTTGTCAAACCTGCTTTGTGAAACGGACCCCTTATGTTTGATTTTTTATTGATAAAAGGAATAAATCCGAACGCACTGGTCATATAATAAAGTAGTTTCCTTTCACGTCGAGGCTGGCTGGATTCTACACCTCAACAAATTTTTATTTCTAAGCACCTCTGAAAACCCTTTTTCTCCCACTTTTCCTCGTCCAGATTTTGGTTTCCTATTGTTTATGTCAATAAAGCTGTAACATGAGAGAATATGTTAAAGGTTGAAGAGTGTAAATACTTTTGCATGGCTCCATATTTCCTTTTAGCCAGAATTTGTTCTGGTGTTTTGGGTGTAAACTGCTGCTCTTTAGCTGCTCTCTGCTCTTCAGCTGGGTAGGTTTGAGAAATCATTTTAATTGTTGTCATTTCTTCGCAGATGTACAAGAAAGATCTGTACAATATGGAGGACCCAGTGCGAATCAACCACGGTCTGAAGCAGTCTCTGAGCTACAGTCACCAGCCGCCGTTTCCGGACAAACAGCCATACCGTGAATACGACCACCCGCCTTATGGATACGACGGAGGCGGCTACGCAGAACCAAAGCCTCACAACGCGGACTCTCACCTGCACTACGACAACCGTGTGCCTCATTACAACGAACAGTGGCCCCCATACGACCAGCAGACCTCGTCCCCCCAGCCCGCCGGGTACCAGCCGGGCCACCAGCAACCCATGGGCTACAGTCCTCGCTCGCCCTACGAGGACGGACCAGGGAGGGAGTACAGCCCCCCACAGCCACGCTACGATGAGGCCCCGGCGGCGGGCTATGACAGCAGACCACGGCACAGTAAACCTGGGCCCATCCGTTATGATGAGCCCCCTCCCCCACCCCCAGGAACCTACGACGCCCTTTCTCCTTATGAGGTAGAATCACGCAGCTTTCCCATCAATTCTCCTCGCTCGCCAGAGCCTCCAAAGCACTATTACGGCGACTCCGGTCTGCGGCCCGCCTACATGTCTGGGCTTTCAAACCGGGTTTATAAGCCAGGGATACACGAGCCCGTCGTCAACTCCGAACCCAGCGCTCTTCCGCCGAAACCGGACGCCCTGCCTTCGCCGGGAGAGCCAGCAGTCACTCCGACCTCCAAGCCGCTTCCTCCTCCTCCACCTCGGGAAGACCTGGATGACGATCCGGCCATGAAGCCGCAGTCAGTGCTCAACAGAGTGAAGATGTTTGAGAATAAACGCTCTGTTTCCATGGACAGAGCTAAAGACGGCGAGTCTTCGGTGCTCAGGGTACGTTCCTTAAACAGGCCACACCAGGGTTTCTGTAGGTCACTAAAAATACATTATTATTGTTTAAATTAAGGTCTTACTGTAATTGGCATTAAAATTCATTAAATGTGATTATCATGGCATTTAAAATGAACACTGGAGATATTTATATGCACTAAGAAGGACCAAAATAACTTGCCTAATTATTCAAACTAAAAATGAATCCAATCAGATGAATCGTGAATCAATCAATTATTGAAATAATCATCAACTAATTTAGTAATTAATCAGTAACTGGAGTTTAGAGACTGTAAAATGTGACAGACTGACCCACTTAGAGCAGGAATTATATCAAAATTGGGAGAGCTGCAGCAGGGTGTCTGCGGAGGGGGCGGGGACGTCTATTTGTTCACTGCGACGCCTACGCAGACGACCTGGTTTCAAAGTATAAATCAGCCTTAAAGGTTTTAGTCTCACCTGGTTTAATTTCTTTAAAAACAACAAATCTTCTTTAAGGAACCTTTGGTTATCTGGTTATTCAATTTATTTCAGTTTATTTATGTAGAACAATTCACAACATGTGACTTTACAGAGAGAATTTAACCAGATCATCCAGTCAGATTGATTCAAAGGTTTCTATCTAAGGAAAACCAGCTGATTGCATCGACTCATTGACTCTTCAGCAATCCCTCACACTAAGCATGCTTGTAGCGACAGTGGAGAGGAAAAACTCCCTTTGAACAGGAAGAACACTGCAAAAAAATGTAAATCTAATTCAGAGATGGCAAAAGTAC